AAATTCATTATTGCATGTTGGGATTAACCTGTCTATTTGTCTGCATGTCTTGTGCATATTCTGTAGTGTTTGTCTTGTGTGCATGTGAAGAGATTGGGCTGTGCTGATTACTCACTATGACCTGTTGAGTCGGAGACTGTGGCATAAGGAGGAAACCCACAACTCAAGGGATAAGTGTAGGTTGGTGGGATGAGAAGGGTGTGAGTCACTGTAGGGAGAGTTGCTGTGAACCTATGAATCGCTATAGCAAGAGACAGCCTGCTCAGCATAAGTCTGTTGAAAGCTGTAAGAAACTGCCACTTGTCATTTGGCCACTTGTAAAACAGACTGAGTCACAAAGGCATTCAGTTCTGTCTAAATGCTTCCAGATTATTCTCAGTGCCCACAGATATAACACTACAAAGGTTTATTGAGGTCCTAATCAAAGTTTATTATGGCAAATGTTCACCATATTCTAGCTGCTTTGCCATGATTTTACCATGACAAGACCATGGATTTGCGTTACAGTGCTTTTAAGATGGCTCCACTGTGTTTGATTAACTTTAATCAATGCATAAACAATGTATCCACCTTTTATATAGGGAACAAAGTCTTTTTTCCATTCTTTCATAAGGAGAAAAAAGCTCAGGTTCAGTCATCTGTAGTTTTAATAAACTTGAAAATAAAATAAGCCTTATAAGATCCTTGGAATGACATACTGTGCAGTAGTGCTCTTCTTACCTACCCTTTACTCAAAGGAAGAGTGTACTTCATACATTCAGACCATTGACATATAGTAGATTGAGGCCCCCTCAAAAACCTCCACTAGACCCTAGTCCTTGCTGTCCTGAAGTCTCATTTGCAAACAAGGATTACATTTTACATTTTCAAAAACCTCAATACATTGTCATTTCATTTTTGTTTTTTAGGACCAAACTACTATTAAGGAGAATTTGTTACCCCATAACAACACAGTACGCCACACAAAAAAAAATCCTGTTTGTTCAAAATCCCATTTTTGTCATTTTCACTTTGTGATAGAGGTTGCCTTGGTCTCAGAGTTAGGTGGTTATTTAGGCAAAGGATTTTGATGGGGGACTGCTCTTCTCTTAACGTTCATGAAAGGTTTGTGTGACTCATAGGGGATCAAATCATTAATTTTATAGTACTGGTAGGTTTTGCTTTCACCAATTGTATTGCTAACAGACCAGAGATACTGAAAAGCCTATTTCATTGGCAGTGGGTGCACATTTTTAGTGTACTGCTGCCATCTGTTGCACAAGCATTAAACTGCTGACATCCAAAGTTAAGAAATAGAACCATCTATTCAACTGAGTCATGCATTTTATAAAGTATTTCCAATTTTCAACATCCTCAAATGGAAAAAAAAATGGAATCAATTTAATATTTGTCCATTTACATTTTAGTATTTTGATTTTGTTTTTCCTATATTTAATGTAATGCTGAACGTATTTTTTATCCATCCTTCCATTTTGTAACGGCTTTATCCACTAATCTATATAGCCAGCAGCCATATCACTCTGCACCTCACAACTGGCAACCCATTGAAGCTAAGTAGGTGTGAGCCTGATCAGTACCTGGATGGGAGACCTCCTGGGAAAAACTAAGGTTGCTGCTGGAAGAGGTGTTAGTGGGGCCAGCAGGGGGCGCTCACCCTGTGGTACATGTGGGTCCTAATGCCCCAGTATAGTGACGGGAACACTATACTGTAAACAGGTGCCGTCCTTTGGATGAGATGTAAAAGCAGGGTTCTGACTCTCTGTGGTCATTAAAAATCCCTGTGTGTTTCTCAGAGGGGTGTAACCTCGGCGTCCTGGTTAAATTTCCCATTGGCCCTTACCAATCATGGCCTCCAAATAATCCCCGACTATGAATTGGCTGCTCTGCTCTCCTCTGCTCTGCTCTGTGGTGAGCATTCTGGCGCACTATGGCTGCTGTCACATCATCTAGGTGGATGCTGTACATTGGGGAGTGTAAGCTATTATTATATACATACATACAACCATGGAGAAGACAGTGGTATTCAAGTCTGCAAACAGAGTAAAATAATTCCAAGTTTGATTTCAGTGTGAGCTGACAGAGGTTATATGATCTTTGTGATGTGTAATTTATCATACATAATAATACAAAGTATAATGCCTCCATAAACAAAAGGTACATTTTGCAATGTTACACATGGTCTTATCTTTGCTGCTTATGCATTATTCCAAATATTTTTTAGAATAGATATTCATACAGATTCTTTATAAACTCATTTTGCTAGCCCTGGGACCAATAGTAAACAATCAGCAAGACTTTCTGTTCATTATTTAATATTTATAAAGTATGGTCCAAAAGATGTATTGATGTAAAATATAGACTTGTTGGGTTTTCATTGTGCCTTAGTACATAAAACTGTAAATGCTATAGACTGATATTCCCCAAAACTAAGTTTATCTCAATACATTATGTCCTAGGCATTTCATGTTTGGTTGTGTATGGGCTTGTTGGCTCAGCTCCTAAATAGATGGTGCCAATGCCTACTCCTTCCAGATATTTGCATGCAGTTCCTGCTAAAACTTGAAGCTGGCAGATTTTACCTAGAGTACACCTCTCTTTGATTTTAGGGCCTCCAAAGTTACTCAGCCATGTACAGGTGATTGCTCAAATGCAGCTTGAGCCACTCAGGCCCATTAACCTGAATATCTGTCAGATTATTTACTCTTCATTGCCATTTTCTTCCATAATCGTCATTCTTTCCATAATTTCCTTCACTGCTGTATAAGTGAGTACATAATGACTACTTCAAGAAATAAAATTAATCAAATGTTTTTTTTTCTTTTTGAATGTTGATAAATGATGATGCTTGCCTGTCTATCCTCAATGTGCCTCATTCAGAAATGAAAAGTAAACTACAGAAACTGAGAAAGGAAGAAGCAAAGGTTTATTCCATCTGAAAAGAAAAGAGACACAACGTTTTGGTTGTGGAGTCTTTTTCGGGTACCTCCAGATTTACACCTGAAGCGGGCTGCACAGCCACAATGTTGGGTCCCTTTTGTTTTTGGCATAGAAAAGACCTTTACTTGCTCCTTTGCAGACTACCCATGCTGACACAGCTACTGTACCTACTGTACTTCAAGGAATTGCATAAAACCTCCTGCAAATCTGTACAGCAATGAAACCAAATAATTTTCATAAGCAAATATAGCAAAATGTCCACAGCTGTTGGGTGACTGCTTTGCCTCTTCCACATGGTACATAAAGGTTCTGAAAAACATAAGCTTTCTAGTCTCAATTCATTGATGTCCCAGTTATTCTTTTGAAAATGGTTCATATGGAATTGACAGACAGATTTTCTACAGCATGTAAACTATATTAAATGCTAAAACTATATAAAATCACACCTTTCCTAGATATGGATATCAAAGTGCATGGTGTATTTTTGATTATTTTTCTGAAACTTTATTTTTACATACTGTATAGTAATTAGTCAAGGCATTAAACGATCTGTAATAGTAACAGATTAACTATGAAAGAATAAACATGATTTCTCAAAGCTTTAACCATTTACCCTTTTAACAGTTGTGGAGTTCTGTGTGACTAATTTAACATTTCAGTAATTTTAATCATTTTCTTAAATCCCACCTTTATGAAGGTTTGGAGGTGCAGATTTAATCCATTGTGTTGGAACCAAAACGATCTGTTGCTTTTTCAATGCCTCTCGGTATGTACTACCCATAATAATACCCATCTTAAAGGGTGTTTCATATTTTTCAAGATTTATTATTACAGCTATTATCTCAAGAAAACATTGCACTCATGATATGATGTATCATACAGTATGTATCAGGTATGATGAATCAATCAGGAGAAGTTCACTTTCCAATTTCCTAGTTCATTAGCATGGATCAAGGACACCTCTTCTGGGGTACCCCTGTTTCTTGTAGTTTCTGTTCCAGATGCATTCTTAATTATTAACTGACTCTTGTATTGATTTGAGTCTCTGACTTGTTTTGATCTCTGAAAAAGCTAAAAGTAAATAGTATATTGAGTAAGTGTTTGTTTAGGAACAAGTAATACACTGTAGGTTTATTCCAAGCTGAAAAGAGAAGAATGAAAACACAACGTTTCGACCTTCCTCACACCTTCTCTTTTCAGCATGGAATAAACCTATTACTTGTTCCTTTGCAGCCTATGCCTGCTGATGGCAGCTACCCACCTGCAGTGTTAATTTATGTAACTGTGAGCTCAGATTAACAAAACAGCACACAGAGAAATGTGCAGTAATGCACACTGCTCTAAAGTAAAATCAGAGCTAACTGGATAAATAAAAGTTATTTATTTACATGCTATACATTGTGTGTTGTCCAAGTTTGATAAATTGCTTTATTTTCATTACAGTGATTATATTACAGTCATTATACAGTATATCATAAAGATATTGTATTACAAAGTGATCAAATTTGTCTTTAGTTATTAAGTTTCTGAATAGAAACATTTAACTGTTGACACCAAACTGAAATTATTAAAAAATGATTTTGATGAGCCATGATGATTAAAAGTAATTAATTGGAATAAACATTATATCATGCATTGTACCCCACAACAATTGCTAATTAAATCCCCAAACTAATTAGAACGTGTAAATATTTTGTGTACTGTGTCTGTGAAACTCACTTACAGATGTATTTCTTATGTGTTTTATAATTAAAACAAAGTTATCTGTATTTTCTTCAGGTTCTTCAAGAGATTTGTATGATTTGCATGGGAGATTATGTGAAATAGAATACTTTGATCTTTTGATAAATGTGATCTTTCTATTTTGAATAAACATTAGCAAATATTACAATACTTTGTAAGTTGTTCAGCATTTGACTGATTATTTGAAAAATGTTCCAGTGATGAAACAGTTAATATTCACAAAGTACCTGCCTTCTCCTGCTGGTGAAAGGTGTGACTACAGGTGTGTTTATATAGGATCCACTTAGCAGCAAGGCAAACACTCCCAACATGCACTGTGGCAAGACACTGTAGGCAGTCTCAGGTTTCTGCCACCTTCTTCAAAACACTGTCTGTCCTGCGCTCACTAATAATTAACATCTATCTGAGGCTTCAGGCAAAAGTTACACTGGCTGATCGTTGACTTCCTTTGACCTCTTTTTCCTGTTACAGCAGAAAAAATAATGTGATACAGGCTACTTTGGACAAGTACTTTTGATTCAGTAAAGGTGAGTGGAAGTTGTTCAGTGGTAATGGTAACTTTTGGCTGTTTGGAGACTTAACTATTATAACCAGATGATGAGTAAAGTAAGATTTAATTTCAGAGGAGTGGAAGAATAATGTGTCATCATGTTTGTAGGTAAATCATCATGTGACAAAGGCAAGGAAAGCATTTCATGTTGACTGAAGTAAAGGGAAAAATTTATATTTTACTTTCAGAATCGCCTCGTGATCAAAATCTTCTATTTCACACCATCTCTCAAACAAATCATACAGATCTCTTGCAGAACTGAAGAAAATACAGATACCTTTGTTTTAATTATACTGCACATAAGAAATACACCTGGATTAAAATATGTAAATTAAATACTTCATAACAACATAACACAGATTGCTTTTTTGTAGAGTGGTACTTAGAAATACTATTTAAATGTATTGCATCTGGTCATCCAGATTAGTGAAATATTCTAGTTAGAAATGGGTGTGGTTCAATAACTTAAAGGAATGTAGCCCCTGGCTATATATTTGAGTGGGTAAACTAGGCTTGTTATGGTACCATACTCAGAATAATGAAAAGTGGCTTTAAATTTCCAGAGACAAAACTTCACATTTTCATTCCATGTTTATGTTTGAAAAGCTTTACTGTATGTGACATTGAACTGTAATAACAGTTTCTCAATATTTGATGCAGAATTTACTACAACCACACAATAGAATCATGTAGAATAATTATCGTAATAGATGTTCTATTGTTATTGTACACTCATTTATACACAGATGGCAATTAACAAATCTTGCAAAATTATGGACTAGTACTGGTGACCTTTTAAAATGTCTCTTGCTGTAGGTTTGCATATGTAGCAAAGATAAAATGTCAGTTGCTAGAAACAAATAACACTAGTCTCAAAACATTTGCATCACAATTGATGTTTTCTGTCTGATTTTGGCTGTACTTAAAAAGTTTCCGGGTGTTGATAAGTTTTTTACTTCAGATAATATTTTTTTTGATAAAATGCTAAATGAACTTGTATGTTCTCCCTGTCAATGGAGCTTCGTAGACACCTGACATGAATGGGTTGTTCCCTGGTTGTTGTTTGTTTTTTATTTCTTTTCACTTCTGAAACAGCATTAAACTGTACTTTAAAGACCTATAGACATGCTATATCTACTGTATATGCTATAGATTCTTCACAAAGTGTGTCTCTACTTGAGTTAGGCATACTAAGTACTTACAAATGTTTTAAAATGCAGAAAAAATCAAAGCATGTGATTCAATGAAATGGTTGTTTGTAGATAATTATATTTCAAATATTTCAATTTGTAAATTTGGTACAGGAAAGTGCATGTTTTGACTTGACCAAAAGGTTAAAAATTGACATTCCTAGACAGGGCTGGGATGCTGAATGCCCAAAAAGTTATTTTATCTGAAATGTGGGTGTGTTTGTACTCCAGAAGACTTTGTTACATTTAGTAAGTGTGCTCGGTTTCGGTAACTATGATGTGATCAACAGAACAGCCTTTAAGGATGGAAAGAGGAACTGAAAGTGTTTATGGGACATTTATTTAAGCTAAAGACTAAGGGACATTGTTATTTATGTTAACTCAAATAACAACACTGAGTAAAAGCATTTAGACATTTTAAATCAACAATAGGGATCCTGTGGCATTGTTGTCCCTCCATAGTTTGCAATACCACAAATATGGCTCCTATGTAACTTAAATTAAAATTGTTCTGGATGTCTGTATTCAATATAAAAAAAACACATTATTCTAAACAAGCTAATCACATTCTGTTTAAAAAAAACTTAGAATCATCATAATTTTTGTTATACCCAACAGAACTGGATTAACCAATAGTGTATTTTCTACATCCCATTTAAGTATTCCTTTCATTTTTTTGTACAGTTTACAAGTTTTAAATGATCCAAAATCACTACAAATGTGGTATATCTGCTATAATTTATTACTCCTGATACCCCCCAGTGCCTCAACAATTTACAGTGATCTGGGGAGATAACCATTTCTCACTTTGTTTCATGATTTGATTAAATGTAACCACACTGGACAAACATAATATATGACTGTCATTTGGCCCACCACGTGGAAAGGAGTATTACACCTACAGTACATTTAAATCTCTGTATATTCCTCCTTGTTGCAAAAGAACACTAGGCTATCTTATAACAATTTACAGCACATACACAACAACACTCATTTAACAGCATATGAGAAACTGTTACATGATCGATATTTTAAAGATTCAAAAGAAAATATGTGAGTCTTATAACACAATGTCAGAAAGAACATGAACAGAACTGACATTTGGACTATTAAGGAGCTTGTGAATCATTATGCACTTAACAGTGTTAACTGATTTTATTTTTTTTTGTCTCACAAAGGGTCTTACCATTTTGGTTTGCAGGATTAACTACAATGAATCTTGACCAGCCATCGTCTCCTGTCCATATCGGGAACAAGAGATCCATTTCCAGGTAGCTCAATCTGACAATTTAACACATTCAATGGGAATGTACTGTAGGAAGAAAAGATCACAAGAGAGACATCCAAAGCAGTATACACTTAACTGCAATTCCTTTTGACATACACCCATCTATTCATTTCTGTAGTAATTTTATCATGTATTTTGTTAATTTTGTTAACTATTTTACCATCAGTTAATTTAAAAGTCCATATTGATAGTGCGATCTGCAGTCTAAAACACATATAAAATCTTTAAAGATATACTGTAACACTTTTTTAACCAAGTCATACAGTCAGAGGTAAACCTCCACTAAGTATTGAAACTTTACTATTTTGTTATTTGTTAAAAGACAGATCATCACACATATTGTCAAAAATATTGGAGCATTTTAGAAAAATGAACTGCAGGGAAATTTGGAAAATGACCAAACAAAATAAAAACACAACCAAGAAGCAGTGAATAAAACATACTCTTGCATTTATATGTAAAACATTAAATCACAGTCTCATCCCAATCTTCCTCTAAAAAATGCTCATTCTTAAAGTTATTTAGAGCCTGTACTCTTGGTTGGATAGTAGGACACCCTGATCATATCACTCAAAATATAACCTAATACATTTGACAACAAACTGTAATTAACCATAATTTTGCTTATAATCAGTATTCAAATAGATGTCAAGCTAAAGCCAATATCCTAGCTTCCTTCAGTAAATGTCTTGAGCTAGAATGAACCAAATGAGCCACTGTAAGTGGGCGGAATAGTCTCCTCTTGTTGTAGTTTTCCTTATGTTCTTATGTTAAGTGTGGTAATTATTGATTCAGTTGTGAAGTGGCAGCTGCATTCCAGAAAAACTGGAAACACCCTTTGCGTGTCAAGTAGCAACAAGAAAAGACTGCATCTTTGATCTATAGCAAACACAATGTATTCTACATTTGGATTTACTCTCTGTAGTGTTCATCTCCTCGTGACCACAATACTCTTGTGAAATTCCCTCTTTTGTTTGTTGGGCAAAGGCTATCAGCTTGTGAAGGAAAAGATCTCATGCATTCTTAATGCCTATCATTTACAGAATACTGCATTTGGAGAATGTTAGAAGGCAGCAGATAGTATTTTGGGTTATCAGGTATTTGGTTAACTAGGAAAAATGTACATATTTTGGACAACTGTTTTGCTGAATGTGAATCATCAGCTTTACGCCTCTTTATTTTATATGTCAGCATAGAAAAACATATAGTTCTGTTTTATCTTCCATAGGGTCAAATTCCTGTCTTTCCTTGACACCTACAACTGCTTTTTAAAAGAAAAGACTAACTTGCAGTTATCTTATCATGAGGTAAGGATATATTTCTTATAGTCTTCAGCTAATGGTATGATGGAACAAGTAATAGATTTATTCCACGCTGAAAAGAGAAGAAAGGAAACACAACGTGTTCTGACACAGCTACCCACCTGAACTAATGGTATGATGGTTTATTTGCAGAATTAGACAGATATTCAGGAAATTACCAGTAAGTGTATAGTTTGATCAAACTGTACAGTTACAGTTCACTGGGGCATTCAAAATGTTACATTGGAAAAATCTGTTGTTTATCTCGCATAGGTGTGTGCACTCCTACTGAATTTCCTAGTGTTTTAAATGCTTTAAAAGAATTCAGGTTCACCCTGATGTGCTGCAGCTTAATCATAAGACCTACAATTTAGGAAACAATTTTCATCCTTTATGACTACATACAGTATTTATGCTGTACCAAATGTCCTTCACTTTTTCTTAGTATTATTGCTTTGTATGTGATAACATTGTCGAAGTGAGGTCAAACACAAGACCCACTCTATAGTGATCTTTTGCAAAATTATATTGTGGCATAGGCACATTGCTTCCTTAATTCAGCGATCTTGAACATGTCCAACTTTACTAATATGTGGTTGCAGAAATGCTGTGGCTTCAAAATCTTTTAATTTTTAATCAGTCTAAGTAAGTATTTCTATGTGTTAGGATTTTCATATTGCTGAACTGTCAAGTCCAACTGTCAAGTCCAAGTGGTCAGACCAGGAAACTGATTTGATCACTCTTAGTTGAGTTTAGTGCCTGGAACTCATCCAGTGTAGACTATGCAGATACATTTTAAGATTTAAAGAAATTGTCCTACACTGAAAGATTAAAGAAAATAATATTTAAGCTTTATTCTGGCTTCTTTAAAAAAAGCAGCTGGATAAGATACTTAAATAAGAGGGTGAAAATTCTGATGCTCAATGGCCAAAAGGCCCCTTATCTTTGTGTGTTGCCATTTCTGTGCTATTGGGTTCTGTAGATAAATTGTAGTTGACATATAGCCATCAATCCTATTTAAATATAATTCACAACTTATCAAGCTAATGTGAATGGCAGTACTGTCAGAACAGAAAAAAAAACATACTCTATTGTTTTGGTAATTTACTGTAATTTATGAGGAACGTAAACTCATTCTTTACTATGAGTGATGTTTTTTTTTAACTTAATACATATCTTTATTCTCCCAATGTCTATTACTGTAATACTGTAATAGTGTAGCTAAGAATATTGTCCAATAGGTAGAAGTATGTGCAGAACTCAGCTACTTTGGCTTTGACTAGAACAAAGAAATCATACATTACATCCATTTTAGCATCTACAGTACTGTGTGCACTGGCTCTCTTTTGAACGGAGAATTTCAAATTCTGTTACTACTAGAATTATTTAATGCCTCCTTACCTCACTAAGCTAGTACTGTACATTACCTCACACTACATTGTAACTCAAAGTCCATGCTCCTAGTACTTTATTTTACTCTGTACACCAGCCTCAAAGAGGTTAAATCTTGGGTTAGAATGATAAATATGCAATACATTGGGTGCTTTCTGTAAATGCATAATAATTTATAATTTTATAATTGCTTACACTTATATAGCGCTTTTCTGGACACTCCACTCAAAGCGCTTTACAGGTAATGCGGACTCCCCTCCCCAATGTACAGCATCCACCTGGATGATGCGACAGCAGCCACAGTGCGCCAGAACGCTCACCACACATCAGCTATCAGTGGGGAGGAGAGCAGAGTAATGTAGCCAATTCTTAGAGGGGGATTATTAGGAGGCCATGATTGGTAAGGGCCAATGGGAAATTTGGCCAGGACGCCGGGGTTACACCCCTACTCTTTTGAGAAACGCCCTTGGATTTTTAATGACCACAGAGAGTCAGGACCTTGGTTTTACATCTCATCCGAAAGACGGCGCCTGTTTACAGTATAGTGTCCCCGTCACTATACTGGGGCATTAGGACCCACAAGCTTAAAGTATTTTATTCATTGACTTCTTGTATTGTTTTCCTTTTTATGTGTTGCCTAATACACAGTTCACAGATGTGTATACAGGAAAGGTGATTATTCTGATCATCATCAACATCTTAGAAATGCCAGCAGACGGCAGAAGCAAAAAAAATCTAAGGCATAATACAATTTTTGTTTTTTATAAAAGGAAGGAGGAGAAGTAGTTGTTGAGGGGCTCCTAATCATATCCTGGGGTGTGCAACGGCCTATTCGACTTAAAATACAAGATGAGAAGCAAGTGCTCTCCTATGCAACTCTAAGATCACCAGATGCTACTAGTCCACTTGGAGGCAAAAGGTATGTATATTTCTTATTTTTCCTGGTGACACAGCAGCCACCCCACTCTGCAGGAGATCAGGCAGAGAAGTGAGAAATTGCTGCACCAATTGAATTAAGGGGATCTTTAGGTAAGTCTGACTGTAAAAGCTCAGGGAGGAATTTTGCAGCAATAGACCCCAGCACTTAGAGGATCAAGGAATAGTGGGAACACATACTGTAACATACTGTAGCAGATTCCGCTGTGTGAAGGGTGCAAGGAGGAAAGAAAAAAGATAACGTATCAGCTAGATACTGCCGAGACATTATGTACAGTACAGCCTTGAATGTAAGCAGAAGGATTTTAAAAGCAAGTTGAAATCTGACTTGAAACATTTAAAGGAGAACTGTGTCCCAGTTTCTTAGACCAGTTATTAAATCTCAGTAACAAAATAGAATAATTGACGGTATTGCAAAATTTTACAAATTCCGAATTAAGCACCTCAATATAGTCCACATGTTGCCGCAAACCCCTGGTCTCACCACCGGCAAGAGTGAGAGTTTGTGTGAATTGCAACGTGAATAACGTAATTCAATGTACAAGCAAATAAGTATAGATTGGGCACTGGACATTTTACTGCAGAAATGTTCCAATGTGATCTGCATGCAGAGTAAACAAATAAGTAGTATTTGCCAGCAAAACCCTCTCGAGGTCGAGAGCAATATTTCTGTTGAATTAATAGAGATGTATTCACAGGGCTGCTTGTTCACAGTGTAATAGGGCCTCTTCACCTCACCAGACGTTTAATTGCCTTGCTTTAAAATGCAGAATATAGTGCTGCACCTACCCGGAAATTTAATCTAATTTGTGATGTAAATTGGGGGTGTAACACATTAATGTGTACATTTTATTTCTATTGTGGTATGAAATGCTCTCAAGAATCAATGCTGACTCTTTATCATCCTGAAATATAAAAATAGAGTTACAGTTTTCCTTTAAAACCATCCTGAAAGTGATAGGACTCCAGTGCAAGGACTCCAAGAATGGAGAGAGGTTATATTTATGCATATAAAATATACCTTTTAACTTGTTAAGTGTAGTTTCAGAAACTCTTTCAAGTAGGGTAATACAATAATATACAGTATAATAGATAAAATAATATTTTTCAAAAGACAAACTCATGAAGCAGTTTTCTGAGACAGACAGCCTAAGACATAGCCTGAAGAGGTTCAAAAAGCGATCCAGAATAAAAAAAATCAAACCCTTAATTCAGGATCAAACTTTCAAGCAAATGCCATAATTTGACCAAGTTATAGGGCTGGTTTTACATTTGTAAGGTCTATATTTATACAATGGAGAATTGTCTTTCTGCACATTGGTGGTGGTGAAGGGCAGTCCCCATTACCTACTTTTTAAAGCGCTTTGAATGGAGTTTCCAGAAAAGTGCTATATACTGTAAGTGTAAGGAATTATTATTATTCGTTCCATGCATTTTCACCATACCTTTAACCTTAGAGGTTTACAGCGAGATGGGCTCTAATTTGGCAGGCATAGGGAGAATCTACACTCTGGATGGAATATCAGTTCATTGCAGGGTACACATGCATTCAATCTTGCATACAGGGGTAACCAAGGACCCCAGATACCCCTGACAGCATGTCTTTGGATGTGGGAGGAAACCAGGGCATCCTAAGACTTACATGGACATAGGAAGAACACATACTGTACTGTACAATAATATATTAATTAATATGAACAATGAGAATTAAACTAAAGGAATACAGAAGAAAAGGAAACTGAAATGCAACAAGGTTTTCATTCAGATCAGACAGGTTTCAGAGTAAATACTGTAGGTGATGGGTAAAGTTCAATCGCAGTGTCTGAAAATAGTACTTCATTAGGTGGCTGACTGCAATATATAATACACATCTAAATATATTTGTACTTTTTCCAGAACCACGTGAATTGCTTTGGAATTTATTTTGTTGAGTGGATGCAAACTGTCTTTCCACATGGAAAAATAATATTATTAAAATTAGTTGTATTCATTTTCACACAAAAAGACCACTACCACATGAAAATGTTTAAACACAGAGAACACCAAATATACAGTACGGTGGATACTACCACACAGCTGGCTGTCCGTTTTAAACGTTAAATGTAACATATTATTTTCTAATATGAAAACGTGTTGCAAATATAAATAAATGTCTGCAAAAAATTCATTAGTTTGAATCAGTTTTATCGAGTTTCACTGAAAGTGAAACTAAACATCCATGGGAATTTACCTCTGTAATATATCTGTAATATATTATTGTGTCTGAACCTTTTCAATCCAGCTCTCTAATGACACTGTCACCGTTTACTCGTGTAGAGCAATAAATCAATTTTAAAGTATTAACTATATACAGTAATTTAGTGTTGTTAGTGCAAATATACAGTATTTGACTAAACTAACCATTTCTCCGCAACTACACAAGATGAGGGCGTGAAACACAGGAAGCAACGTGAATCAAAACTAAGATTAAATTAAAAACGTGAGAGGAATTACAACGGCTTTTATAAGTAAATCCGTGAATTGTTTGAAAGAAAAAAAAATAACCGTATAAAAATCTTATTTTCACAGTAGCAAAAAAAAAAACGGAATCAAATGATCGCCACACCCCCACTTACAGTAGCTAAGTGTCAGCTTTCTTAAAGCAACAACGCTCCACAAAAAAATAGTAGATTTTTAAATTACACAATTAATTATTAAATATATAAAAATATAAGGACAAAAACAAAATGATTTTTGATTCATACTAGCTCTACTGGACAACATCAATGACATACAAGTGTAACAGGTCTTTTCACATTTGCTTTTGTGGCTGTTAGTTTATGTCGAAGTTGCTATGAAGTTTAAGAAATCTTCTTGGCAAAAGTCAATGTTGAATAAAATGTAAAATTGTTTTTACCAAGAGGGAAAACGGTTTGTAAAAAATGCCTAGACCAAATACATTTGAACACTAGTATGATCGATAAACTAGTGGTTTCTAAGCACTAAACATTTTTTGTTTAATGTTCACACTTAATATTTCAATATTACACTGTGTGTTGTAATTAACCACCATATTGTTACAAATATGGGAGTTATGAAAATTAGAGAATATCGAGTGGGGAAAATTGGTAATTAAAATAACAATTGTAACCCCCTAAATTGTTACAGATATGCCAAGAATATACCCGAAAGGTTCATATAGTTATTTCCTGGTACAGCTCCGGTGATAGAGTAATAGATCAGGTAAACTAGAATATACAAATATTAACAAAGACAATAACACACAACAGAACAGCATAGCTTTTTTAAAAACAATATGTCTCAGGCCTACAGTATGTCCTGACCAACCAGAAAAACCCAGACTGCTACCCAGTAGTCAAAAATCCTATGTAATGCCTAACAGGCCAACATACTGTAAGAGATAAACCTGTGTCCTAAATAGAACAGAATACAACCCAGTGCTAAATGTCACCAAAGTGGATGGGACCTACTGTACCTACTGTACCTATTCCAAAAAAATGCATCTATTAACTGAAGGAGAACATTTTTAACCTTGGGAGTCTTTATAAAGAAAATAACAGTTTCCTAAAATAAAAAGAATGGCAAGCTTTCTTAACAAGGTTCCAATACCCCGAGTCTGGTCTTTAAGGTTGATTTAAAGTACATTCTCACCTTTCACATGCTTCTGTCTCTTAGTCTTTTTCTTGTGTCGGTTTCTTACTGATGAAGACTTTTAATGATTTAAAAGGAATTTAATTAACAACGATTGCTTTAGATCTAATGTCTCTGAAGCCAAGTGCAGCTCTGCAAACACAGTTTTCTATCATCATTTCTAGATCCTGAGACGCTTCAGTAGCCATAACAATATGAATAATCTTTTAACATAGTGACATAGTTTCTTTCCTTGAAATGAATACATTTTATCACACATGGTAGTCAACATTATACAAGGTGCATATTAAATGTATTATATTTCACAGACTTACTATCAACCATATCAGTCATAAAACCATCTAACAAAATCATTAAGAAGGGTATCATAGATACTGGGAAAATGACATTTTCTGCCCTTCCAAATTGTTATATAATTCATATTGTTGTAATGTAAGAGGGACTAATAAGTTGTGATAAGAAGAGAATATTAATTATATTTAACATGCTGACTTATGACTTCTTTAAAAGGTAATGAGGCTGTTCTGTTTTGTTCTTTGTAGAACATATCAGCATTACAGCTAAGGTTGCCAAGCACTGTGGTAACATAACTTGTTTCTAAGGTTTAAATTGTCTTTTAGAGGTATGACTCGATGGGGGGAATTTGATGATCTTCATCAAATTGATGAGATGGAAGAAACAAGGCAAGACACTCCTGAAGCATCTACAAACCACAATACCGGTATCTTCCAGCAATCTAACCACTGCTTGTTGGCAATAAAGTATCCTTGAGTAGTAAAGCTGACTGCCAACCCGAAAGAGAGAAAAGGCCAAGCTTAGAGCTAAGAAATGGTTTACATGAAGCAACGTGCTTGTTAATAATAATTGTCAGCTAGCTGACTTCCAAACTGCCTTTTGTAAAATAATAAGTTTAAAAAGATGGTTAATGCAATTGCAACATTGAACATAACAAAAGAGTACTATAAAAATGGCTTGCTTTGTAAAACATGTCAATGTAAGAATTATAGATAATATTTGTAATAAAATAATAAAAAAAAATGTAATTTCCTCTATTTGTAAATTTAGGGTTTCTCACCTCTGATCTAATTCAAAATCTTTTAGGAGATGGAGACAGAATCTAGCAAAGCATTAATATGAATCAGTTGTTACATTTTGCATGGATATAAAAAATATTTTATATACTGTACAATGTAATTTACAGTATAAGGAAATACAGTACAACCATCATTAAAAACAATTCTACTAAAATTTATTTGGTATTATGACTACAGTACCTTAAATGCAAAAAACTTTTTTGTTTCTCTTAAATAAGGGCCTAAGGAGTATGTAAGCAGTACATTAAAACCACCTAGAGCCCAGGCTGCTATTGAAGAGGAATCTAACCTGTATCGGACAATGAGTGATGCCTCATTGGTGAAGAAGAGAGTAAAAACCAGAACAGCGGCAGAGAGACAGCAAGACAAACAGCAAAGGTTCTCCATCAATGGTCATTTTTATAACTATAAGGTAAGTAAAGTTGTTAAGCACTTAAAGCGCCTAATTAAAATGGAAGTGTTCCTGGAATCTGCAGGATTTAACAGGCCAATCAATATTACTGTCACCTACTGAATACAACCCAGAATCATCACAGCAACACAACTACATTAAACAATTGAATGCAACAAATGTCATTGTTAACATGATTAAAGCTGCTTGCAAAATAATACCCAGAAACAAAAGCTGTAATTCTATACTTTTGTCCCATATTAATCTTTTGATCTGAAATTCAGATTTTATTAGTACACAGCAAAAATGACAAATTGTCTTCAATGTCCCAATACTTATGCTTATCACTGTACACAGCTTTCTATAAAATGAAAACCCCATTCTTTGACATTGCTCCATCTCTTCTATTTAGACATCTATATTTACCCCATCATTTGGGACCGCAACCAGTGTACGAATAAACAGCAAAATGACAACAGATGAAGTTATACTTCAACTTCTTCAGAAATTTAAGGTAAATCACTTTTTATTGTTATTCAATAAAATTTGAATTAGGTAAATGTAAACACAGTATTGTTCAAAAAGTAAATGCTCTGTTACCCAAACTTCTGTTTGAACTGTTTGTGACATTGTGTGGCTCTTTTCATAATCTGAAAGATATGCATTAAAGAAGTGCCTTCAGAAATGCCTGTCTTCAGACCATTTTCATACACTTCTCTTCTGTAGCAGTGGTTAATAAGTGACTCTAAAATAAAGGTGTAGTATGTCTACACAATGCATTATCATTAAATGACCCAAGTTTTTACTGATTTTTTTTTCTCAAATATTAACAATACGTGAGACATTGAAGTTCAAAGAATTGTATTGCAATTATGGGCCCTGCTGTACTTCCTGTCCAGCATGAATAAAAATAATAAGGATCTTCATTAATCTAATCATTATCTACACATAAAATGGCACGCTGTTAATAGAAAGGTTCAACAGTTTTAATGTAAAGAAAAAAATTAAGATTGCATGTGAGCATTTATTTTTCTTTGTGGGTAACAGATAGAAAATGATCCAAATGAGTTTGCCCTGTATTGCATTCATCAAAGTGGAGGTGAGCATTTTCTTTCTTTCTTTTTCAGCTTTCTTTTGTTGGGGAATGGCAGGATAGCAATCACATTTTAATGAAACCTAATTCTGATATAAAAACCACCAGTTTCTATTAGTTATTAATAGTTTTTAATATGTGGAAAAACTGGAATCTAATCTGATATAAAGCATTCAGTATTTTAAGTAGAACACTTTAGTTAATTTCTATTTTAGTTAATTTCTATTTTTAAATTTGTTTGATTTACTCATGAAATATACATTACCTGCCTGAAAATTAAGAAAGACGGTTACTGTGATTTGGTGAAATTGGTAAAGATTGATAGATACAGTGTCTCTTAAGCTTTAGCAGGGATAAGGATATAAACCATAGAAACAGTGTTACTTTAATTACAAATTAAACATTAAAATGTATTAATTTACATTATCTTTGCCAGGATCCTTTTTGCCTTTACAAATTCGTAACATCTAAGGAAATATTTAATTTAGTATGAATTACCATATGCTGAAACATTAGAAGAGAGTGAAACAAAACTTCTAAGCACCTAATTACAGCAAAGTAGACTTCACTATTGACCTTTTGAATGAAAGCATGCAAAATATGATCATGAGCAATTAGATAAGATGAAAAATGCTGATTTCCTTTTCAGACAACACTACTTTCTTTAAATTTGGACTCTTATCCTCAATACTTCAATCATTGCCCTTATTTCCGGACATATCCCTAAACAGCCCTGTTATGTTTAGAGATTTGCATGTTTACAGGAAACTATTGATGTGTTAGTGGAGATGGTGGAATGTGTGAAACCTCTGAAATTGCTTTATCTGGCTAACAATCATTAATGAATATGCATTCTACTGTGAATTTCATTATCAGGCAAATAACCTTTTTTCTCCATTAATACACCAGAGAAGAGGAAACTAAACAATTCTGACTATCCGTTGTGGGAAAGACTTCTCCAAGGACCCTCAGAAAGCATCGCAAAAATATTTTTAGTGGACAGAAATGAGCAAGAAGTAAGCAATGACGTAAGTACATAAAAATCACATTAACTATACACAGTGCCTTGCACAAGTATACACCCTACTCCAGGGATTTCCTCTTCTGTTGAATTACAAATTACAAGTGCAAATTTCATATACTGTACACCTTTGTGTTTAAGTGCATATTTTAATCAAAATGATTATGCTCAAACTGAATAGGTCTAGGGGTGAAAAAGGTTATATGTCAGTAAAATCTACAAAGAAAAATCAAAAACTGAAATGTTAATTACATATGTATTCACCCACTTTGCTATGACAAGCCTAAATTAGTTCAGTGCATTTTGTCAAGTCAGTCACAACTGTGTTTACTGGCATCTGTGTATCATTAAAGTGTTCAGACACACATTAAAGAACAAATGTACCTGTCTCACTCATTCGGATAGCAGAGTTTCTGGTTACGGATGTCACTATGAGGCCAACAACAATTTTTAATTAGGTGCAAAGCTCAGTGCCTGAGAGTGGAGACAATATCCATGAATCAACAGTATTCCAGTCTCTTTGCAAAGCTGAAAGAAGCCATAATAGAAGAAAACCCATCTTAAACCTTGCATAATGTTTACTGCAAAGCATTTAAGTGATGCTGCGACCATGGTGTGACAGACCCTAACTTCAAGCAAAGTGATCTCAAGGATCTGCTCACACAAAAACTCACAAGATGGCCACAAGGTGAAATAAAGCAAGCTTTATTATTTGCTCTTTCAGCGCAAACAAAAGAAAAATTACACCCATGCAAAATTTGAATTTCGAAACCCTTTATCATTTAACCAATAATTACGACAATTACCCCTTGTGTAGATATTTACAAGTAATTAAAGGCTTTATATCTGTCTCTAGTAGCAGGCTGGCTATCATTGCAGCTTTTCTGAAGCCAGCCTGCCACACATGGCAAAAGGATTTGTGGTCAGAAGAAACAAAATTGGATTTTTTGGTCTAAATGTTTTGTCTGATGCAAATCCATTACGTAATTAATATAATCCCATACTTTCAAGGTGATGGTATTGTATTATGATGCTGCTTTACAGCTTGTCAGGATTGAGCAATTTGCAAGATCTTACAGCAGAGACTGGTGAAGAACAATGATCTAAAACATTAGGCCTCAAAACTATACTGGAGTGGTTTAACAGAACTCAGCAAGAGTCTAAAATCTTTTACTGGCTAAGTCAGAGTCCCAACTTGAGTCCGGTAGAAAATCTGTCACAAGACTTGAAAATTGCTGTCCATCTTTGATTCCCCCAACCAACTTGTTGGAACTTACAGAAGTTAACAAAAAGGAATTTTAGCACCGCAGCACCTGATGAAATGCAATGGTTTTGAGACAGGAAGTTGAATCCACTTGCAGGAGCAGAGGCTGAGCAGACAGTACACTCTCGGGCGAAAAACATACCAAAACACAGTCTGAAATCGTAGTCACATAAGCAGGGGTACAAACCAAGGAAACTCAGGCTGAATGCACAAAGGATGATCTGAAAGGATAGTCCAAAGCCGTAGCTGAGTGAGCAAGCCCGGTTGACACAGAGCAAAGAATCTGTAAGAGAAGTTGTGGAAACAAGCCAGGAATGTAAGCACAACAGAGAGACTGTAGTCAAAACAGGATGGATCGAAGCACAGTCAAACACAGGCAAAACACAGGGATAATCCAGAGTGTAAAGTCAAATAAGCAAGTTACACAGCCTGAGAAGACTATCGCAAGAGCACTAGCAAGAGAATGTGAAGACACGAGAAAAGATGCCTGTGTGGGAGGACTATCATTACTGATCTAACTGATGTGTTACAAACATATTTTTGTTTTCTTTTTATTGTGCTTTGGAGTTTTTGCTGAAATGTAGTCAAGAAACTGATGAAATGTAGCAGCATTCACCTGCACAAGAGCCTGGTTCCTCTCTACAATAATCAGTTATGGTACAGTATATTGCAAATTAATGGTTGAACTCCTTAATTTAATGCATGGTAATGGTGATACCCAATTCAAATTGAGTAGAAACAATTTAAGATAGTACACGTGTAATTACTGTATCATGAACCAGAACCTTAAACTCTGTGCTGTTAATGTAACCCATCTGGTACAGTTAACTCTTTTTCCAACATGTCAATGCTCTGCCTCACTCAGCCAGGGTTGCACAGTCATTCCTTCATGCACTCAAAAATTCAAGTGTTGTATCGGCCTTCAGATTATTTGATAGGAACCTACTGTAACTGAGCACCTGTGGGGCTTTCCTTGACACGAACTTCCTCAACTAGAATTCACAAGAAATGCTGCAGCACCATTGGACAACTCTCCCACAAGCCCTGTCTAGGGCTATGTCAGTTACTACCAATAGCTTTGCATGCTAGTGTCAGAACACAAAGCGGTCACCCTCATTACTAGTGTGACACAGCAGATAAATCTTGTCCTTCGTTATTGCTGGTCACCAACAGAGGGCCCAGGAAGTCTGCAATACCACTCTTTAGCTTTCCTCCAGCACAGCCACGTAAGAATAGAGGGCTCCCCATCGGGAACACCTGCGCTACCAATTAAGAGCCCAATATAAGAGATGTGCATTCACCTGTTTGGGCGTTCATCACAGAACTTCACCTAAGCAGCTCTGCTGAGTGCTATTTACCCACAGCTGTCAGAGGAGTCCTACTCCATTGGGCCCCCGAGCAAGGCCCTTAACCCCAACTGCTCCATTGGCCGCCGTATAAATGGTTGACCCTGCGCTCTGACCCCAAGCTTCTCTCTCCCCGTCTGTGTGCCTGTGTGTCTAATGGGAAACAAAGCTGGGGTATGTGAAAAGACAAATTCCTAATGCAAGAAATTGAATTTGGCTAATAAAGTGATCTTACTCACAGCAATTTTACTTGAGTTGGGACTTTGACTTAGCCAGTCAAAGATTTTAAAGAATGTTCTTCTTTTTGAGTTCTGTTAAACCACTCTAGTATGGCTTTGGGGCCTTATGTTTTATTTACATTTACTTTCTATTGAGCATTAGCTCTCGTATTACTTCCTTAAAATATATTCCGACCAAGTAATTTCACACCGGCTCTCTTACCTCCTTATCGGAATAGCTCGGTTGAAGCCGGTGAAACCACAGTGCAATCACTCACGCACTGCTACACCAGACATCAGTGACCCCTGCATGTGTTCATCACATCATAGCCAATCCATACCTGTATAGACTGTAGTTGGTTTTCCTGCTTATTGCATTGATGAACTGAACTAAGCAAAATATTTTAACCTTCATGGTGTCATAAAACAACTTAATTGTATTTTTATTATATTTTTGTACAATTAAAATATTATTTTATTTTGACATTTGCAGTGGTTGTATTTTTTCAAGCTGCAATTACAGTATTGTAACAAGTAATAGGTTTATTCCATGCTGAAAAGAGAAGAAAGAAAACACAATGTTTCGGCTGACACCTGAAGAAGGCTCCAAACGTTGTTTTCTTTCTTCACTTTTCAGCATGGAATAAACCTATTACTTGTTCCTTTGCAGCCTACGCATGCTGACATAGCTACTCACCTGAACTATTACAGTGTTGTGTTTCTTTTCAAGCATTTTCAAGGGATAAATCACAACCATTTGGTGAAAGTATCACCGTGTGCTGTTGCAGTAATAAAAGTGCACTTCTTTTCATTTTTTTATTATGTATTTTATTTTAGCCCATTATTTTCAGGTAACTTGATTAATGTCAACCGCCTTTTCTCTCTGTTTCAGGTGGCACAGTATCTTAATTTTGAACTGCCGATTCTGCAAGGATTTTTGCAGAAGTTAAATGAGGAGGAAAGCAGAGAGATACAAAAGATAAAAATAAAGTGAGTTTTTGAAATGAAGCTCTTACTGTATACAGTAATAATAGAAACTTTCTGTACTATTGTTTTGAACCTTGTTTAATGCAGTTTTCTGACTGTCCTACAGGTACAAACAGGAAGAGAAAACCCTCACACACTGTATTGTCTCAAGAATAATGCAAAGGACAGAAACTACTGTGTAAGAGATGAAGACATTTCATCCCTTTTGTGAAATAATTTGGAAAAAGATAATTGTTTCCAATTTTGGTCAAAGAGAGTCAATGTTAATATGTTGATCTTGAAACCATGTAACATAAACCTGAATAATTTATTTTTTACAGAAATTTAACAATTATTTTGTAATTGTTAAAACATAAATTAATTGCATTGTTTTATTGTTAATATGGAGTATAATGAAATAAGGGGGTGTGGTCTCTTTGTTTTAATTCTTATATTTCTGTTCACACGGGTCATTAAAAATAAAAAAATATATTCTTCATAAACTGGTTCTTTTCTTTTATCTGCCTCTGCATATTATATTTAAGAAGAGTATTTTTTCATTACAATATTTAAGCAATATTTTCACATGATCTACCTTTAATGGTAAGAACTACTCATTATTGTTTAGGCAGCTGCAATTTTAAAGTAAGCAAATTTAAAGAATTTTGAATTTGCCCTGGTACAGGCAGGCACAGCCATGACTACAGTACATTGTTAGAAAGCCACTCACAAAGAAACAAGCTGTATGTCTTAATAGATAAGGTTATAGACAGAAAAGTTAGGAAAGACAGAATTCAAAATTGACATTGGAACATACAGTAAAAGAAAAGCATTTATGCTGTTGTCATGCATTTGAGGGAAAACTGATCAAATTATGTAAAGTAACAAAAGAATAACACTTACCAAGAATTTCCAGGAATTTGAATTAGTAGTTTGATAGAATTATAATGCAATTATAAACTAAACAGTTTACAGGTTTTCAACATAAGAACATTCCACAAGTATTATATACTGTACTGTACAGTCTGAACAGCCATACATAGCACTGTAGATTTTTAAATGTTAAATTTTGAAGGCATATGAATATTAATACTAATATTTTACTACTGTATTATGTATTTAAGGTCTTTCAAACTCTGTTAACTGGTTTATTAAAATCAATTTTTATCTCCAAGAAACTAGTGGGATTAATATTAATTTACATTTTGAAGTTATTTTCTTACTTTACGTGATTCATGTTGTTTAAACATTATATGTAGTGTATAATTTGTAAACCTAATGAAATGCATTCAATTATCTACTATGAATGCCATAATTAGATCATTATAAAAGTTTTTTAAAACTTACATACAGTAACAGTTTTGTCTTTTCCATTGCCAATATATGTCACTGTGAAAATTAAACTATGTATTAATTTGTAATTTATTTTTTGAGGGAGAAAATGGTAGAGAGCATTAGTTTCCTAGAAAATTGTTTTACAATTACAATTACAATACAATTACAATTTGTAATTTAGTTTGTTTTAATGAAGTTTAAATTGACGTCATGGACTTGTAAATAAATATTTGACTGTCTTAATCTATGCAATATTTTTGCTAGGTTTATGAATTTTTACAACACTTTTATTCAAGGAAACTGAAATTTGTATCCTTCTATACTGTATATCCCTGTTTTGTTCGAGATTACAGCAAGAGTCCTCTCAGGATGTGAGTTGAATCAATGTTAACCTCTTAAGAAGCCAGAAGACATCTATAGCATGATGATTTGATCAATGTAGCACCTGTAGCCAATCACAACAGCAACTGGGCACTAGACTGTTTTGACCTCTTCACTGATTAAGCTATTGTACACAATAATTTGTATGTCATTCTGCATGTCTGTTTGACATTCATCAGGGTGGTCTTCACAAAAAGGTGATTCAATGCTAAAGAAGTCTTGGATCCACTAGTGACAAGTCTACCACAGGTGACTATTCTAGCCTTGATAAGCAGGCTGTTTTTGCTCTTTTTTATTGTGTTTTTTCTTCTTTGACTTTAACTAGACCTGACATTCAACAGGTTGTCACGTTCCCACATGTGCCCAGTCAGGTTTTTCACTAATAAGGTGTTTTAGGTGTTCAAGTGCTTGAGCAATAGTCAAAGTCATTAAAGTGTATCGCAATCTGTCATGACTTGTGAATGATCAAATAAGAAAAGAAATGTCAAAATTAATATTCAAAATCTTTACATTTTGTTTTTCTAAAGGCAGAAATGTAAAAACAGAGTGATAAGCGTCTTCTTATGTTCTGTATACCAGGAAATGTGGCATTATCAGCTACCTTTTGTTTAGCTGAAGGGAAAGGTCAGAAAATAAGTAGCTAATGTTTTTTTTTATTTCCTTAAAGAATTCAACTTGAATAGGACAGACACCCAAATACACATTTTTGTAAAGCAATTTACATTTTTGAGATTTAGGCTTTTGAGATTGTTGATTTTTTTTAGATGTTGCTAAACTATTTTGTAACGGAAAAATATTCAGCAGAAAACACTAGGGGGCGCACTGTAATAGGTGAAGTGGGCCTGTACATAATAACAACAGCACAGGTTTCAGAGCTATAATTGGAATTAAAGCACCAAGTCTTTCTACTTAAGATGTGACTACAATAGAAAAGATTGTTCTTGTGTATATATACAAAAATTACATAGAAGTGTAGCACTATTTAAATAATTTCCTTCTAGAAAGTTAATGCAAGAAGCTTACTTCGGCTGTAAAGCTTAGAAAACCTGGTTTAAATTGCACAACGATATCAGTGGATACTTGCAGAAAGTAATATGAATAATCTACCATTTAATTTGTATAGAAAATATACATTTTCTAACATAAATATTGTCACCCTGTATATGTTGAAAGGCTATTTGCCAATTAATTATGCTTCTTGGTCAGATTTACTTCTAACACATATATTTCCTAGTAAGAGATCATTAACATACTACAGTAAATTAATTATTGATACAAAGTGCCAAGTACAAGATACAGTACCTAGACTAATTGTGAGATTTATTTCTGGTATCACACTTGCTTACCCTATTTACATTTACAGTAGCTATACACTAGATACATAGCAAGTATGATCAGATCATCTGATAGTGTGATTGAAAATTTGGGAAATTAGATGTTTTTAGTTTGTTTTTTCATGTAAGTTAATACCCACATAACTACATTATGTGTGAAGGGACCGGTTTTTAAGGTGGAACTTTAGGCAACACCCAGAAAACATTCCAGTGAATCATTGTGTACCAAAACATGAAAAAATATGACTATGTTGGTCAATGAATGAGACAGTTTTTGTGCTTGACTATTGTTAGAAACACGTCTGCGTCACGTCTAGAATATTATTCTCACTCTTAAATTAAGCCATGGGTTATTTTCTACAAGAAAACTTCCCATTTTTTATGTCAAGCATCATAGATGCTGGAAAACATTCATAAAATGAATATTTTTAGTATACAATTATTTATCAAAATTTTGTTCAATGTTCAACAAAGAGTACACTGGAAAATAGCAGTAGTATAGTAGATTTTTCTTTAATTCATAAGAATTTACATAAGGTTTTTACAGTATTTGTAATAGAATATTTTCATATAACTCACACTGTGAAAGCAATTATAATGTGATAATAAGTACAAAAGTCACATACTGTAGCTCTAAACAATTTTGTCGTCCACGAAACATTGCAAATACCAGAAACAGTATATACCTCTATATATATATACTGTAGAGGACAGACAAAATAATGGAATCATAAAGAAATGTATGAATATGTATTAAGGAGTTATGCCACTTATTGCATTCAGAGCAGCTTCAGTCCTTCTTGGAATAATGTTATACAAATGTTGAACTTTCTTTAGTTGGTTTTTGGACTATTTATCAAGAAGGAAAGCCTCCAGTTTCCTTAAAGATGAAGGAGATGAAAATCTCCACTCTACATTCCAGAACCTTCCATAAAGGTTCAATGACATTTAGATCTGGTAAGGAGGGAGGTCATGGAAGGTGTTTATCTTAATCCTAGTGTTCATGAAACCACTCTTGGACTGGGGCATTATCATCTTGGGATATGATTCTTGAGGAATCAATATTTGCAGGGTGTACCTGTCCAGATGTAGGAAAAAGACTAAAAGACAAATAATCAGACCTTATTACTTTCTTCCACTGCTCACAAGTCCAGGCTTTGTGCTCAATACACAAGGTTAAGCACTGCTGTGCATTGGCCTTGTTTAGAAGTGATATCTGAATGACAGCCATTCCCTAAATATCAGTTTTATACAGTATAGAACACGATGTACAGGTTTTGCTGAGACTGGGTCATGGAAGTGTAGATTCAGTTCTGTGGTACAGAAATTTTTGAGGGCGTTGTTTTGTGGTTTTAAGTAACTAGGAGGTGCTGAAGTGCCATTTGAAAGCAAAGCATGGTTCTAACCAAAACGTCATGGAACAAAGTGAATGATAGGGAGTTCTTTCTCTATGATGAGCCAAAAAAATTCACATCAATTTGCTTAACCAAATCCTGACAGCCTGCAGTTAATCCACAGCCAATGAAGGGCTCCTGGAACAGGCTGGAAGAAGTACAGCCAGATCTGTAAGTTATAGGCCATGTCCTGTGGTCAGGGTGGAGGCTTTTAACAAACAAGCCATCTGGGATCTTGCACATTACATTAATGTGTAAAAGGCTACAAAACATCACATGCAGCTAAAAATGTACATATTTATCACTGCATCAAAATTGAAGTTTTAAATATATAAGAAACCCAACACAAATTAATAGCTTTGTAATCTTAAGAGTTTAATAAAAATATATGATTTTAAACTGTTTTCTTAAAAAGGAACAATTATGCAGAATATGCCATATCCAGTTACATTATACAGTCTTCTATTCAACTGGTTAAACAGGGAGCAACTAAACTAAGAAAGCAGTAGAAACAACAGAGAAAACCTATTTCTTGCATTTAGAGTCAATGAGGGCATTCTTGTTTTTAGAAGGATGAAACTGGATCTCAAAGTGACAATTGAGTCTCTGTAAAAGAAATAATATAGTTAATTATATAATATGAATGCTGCTTAATATGCTACATGATGAGGACCCATAAGACATCAATCTGCTGCCTATCTTATGAGCACAAATTCGGAATGAGAAGTCATAAGATAGTTTCTATCTCCTGTGTTGCTAATTAACATAACTTTCAATGCAAGTCTCATCCTAACCTGAAAGTTGGTCCCCTTCTGATACCTTGTCTATTTTTTGTGTATTTTTATTTATCCAGATAAAGACATGAGAAACCAAAGGTTTCTCCAAAGGAGATGTATTTTGTTATTGACATATATCCCACCCCACCAATCAAAACGTGAAAAAAATAGCTGAAAAAATACCTTTTTTCCTAAGGCACATGCTTTTAAATTGATATCTTCAGACTTCTTGCATTTTGATCTTCCGATCTCAGCATTGAGCTTGTATGTAATTGTATTTGTGACCTTTAACAACAAAAAGGAAAAACAGAAACTCAGAAACACATATTACAACATTTGCCTGCTAGAAAAAGACCAATATAATAATGATATCAGTCAATATAAAAGTAGCTGACAATGAGAGAATGCTTAGACTACAGTAAATTCCATACTCAAGTCAAGAGACCCATCAGGCTGAAGTATATTCTGTTTTTCCCACTGCTGAGTAGATTCAGAGTATATGACTCCCCCTGGATGGTATATCAGGGGTTTCCCCTGCAACACTGGTACCCATTTATACAGCTGGGTGCACTGAAGCCATTGGGGTGAGCACCTTGTTCAATAACACAACAGAACTGCCTGCAACAGAAACTCAAACAACAACCTTCAGCATGTCAAGATCTTCTAACACTACCCTACGCTGCCCCTTGGCCAAAATGTCTAAATATCATTATTACAAGCAACCTAGTGATTTTTAAAACCCATACCCTTTAAAACCAAATAAAATAGACTACTTCTAGCAGTCAGATTAAATATTATGTTTGATAATTTTAGATTATATTAATATTGTGTCTTGAAAGTCTAAAGTTTGTTTTTCATTTCTTGCAACAAAAACTTGAAACCTCCAGTAGGATTAATTGTAAGCTTTGGCACTCTTCCTGCCAAATTCTAAATACAGAAGAGAAGCATTTGCCAATATTTGCCATGTCATGATTTTTATTTTCCATCTGAGTGTACCCTTTTCTCCCAATATTTACTTAACACTTAAGTATTCCTGCTACTTTAGTATACCCTGTACAGTATATTAACCAGCCGTTTTACCTGTGCTTCAGCAGACGTGACATTGAGAAGTATGAAATAGTTTTTTCCTCTGGATATCTTGTTGTACTCTGCAACAGCATTATTGGCCACATTCTGGATTTCTGGGCTGTTTGGATCCATTCGAAAAGGAGCACCAACAGGCTTTATATACCCTCAAAAGAAAATCCCAAAGATGACCATACTGTAGATGATCTCATTTCAGATGTATTTCACAATTTAATTTTGTTTTTCTGAAATGATTGACTGCATTTTCCACTTTCATTTTATACTTGCTACATGTCCTTGGTTTCTCCTTTTGATTCTGTTTAGAATGTGTAGTAAATTATTATGTGCAGTACAATTCCACAAAAAATGTGTCTTATTATTTAGAAGCAGTGATATCTACATTCTTCTGTCTCTGTGCCATGTTTGATATGGGTTGTTACCCCACCATCAGGACTTGTCTACCACCCTTGAACTATGTATATTCGCTAATTCTAATTCTTTATTATTCTTTTTTCCTATCTATAAGATAGTTTTAACTCCTGTATCATTATACAGTAGATCCCTGCTAATAGTACTTCTAAGTCAGAAATCTTGTTTCTGTTCTGCCTAGAATTGAAAATTGGGCTCAAAGGACTTGGTTGTTAGTGTAAAAAATGAAGCAGACATACAGTAACGTAAGAAACAAACTAACAACTATCTCACTGTGTCAATTAAGTAAACACATCGCAATCAACCTGTACCTGTACTAACAGCAAATAACTAATTACAAGGTGACAGCATTCTTTCATTTTTCTTCTACACAGCTAAAGGTTGTCTAAAACATTCCTGTAACCAGTAATTTTTTATAATTTAATTTCCGTGTACAACACAAGAACCTTTGTTTTCAGTCTATCATTTTGGACACTACCGTTTTTCAGGATAATAAGATTATCACCTTACAGTATCACCAAAGGGAAAAGAACAGGATTTTAATTTTCATCTATTCCACCAATTAGTATTTTCTTTGCTTTTCACAAATATACATACTGTATATCATATGGAAACTTCACACAATATAATGCACAGTCCCTGACTCCAGATTTGCAGGATAATAACTGAGGAGACAAGAGATTAAGCATCACCTACACTAATTTTTTTCCACTTTATATGTTTTTAATAACATGATTAAAAGACAACTTGTGACTATATTAGGTTATTGAAAAAATGTAGAGAAAGCTTACTTGGTTTGATTTCTTCAATTACATCCTCAACAATCTGGTCACTTTCAGAGAGTACAAATACTGGCATCAGTGAGAAAAATAGCAAGATCTTCTTAATAAATGCCATGTTGCTTTCTGTCTTCCTGGGAAGGGAATAAGTGACTAACCCTCTGGTGAATGTTAGTGGCTTATATTTAAGTAAGAGAATGTTTTGCCAGACTGTGAAATCCCCGCCCAAGTCAAACTATGGAGAAAGTGAGTTACAGCTTCTGTAATAACCATTGCAGGATTACTGACCTTTTAAAGATAAATATGTTTTGCTAGTGTATTCTAATACAAATAAGCCCAAAGAAAGGTTTTACAAAGACTGCTTTGTCTACATTTTACTGTATTTATAGCAAGGTGTAAATAAACAAAACAGCTAAAAAAATAAACTAAGGCGTTTTTGTTTCTCACGGATATTAATAGGCTGTTGGCACTGAAAAAGAAGATCTTTGTTTACAGTTCACAAAGTTTTGTCTGGGTTCTAAGTGATACAAAGTAAAGAAGGGAAAACATAGTTGAGTGAAGTTATAAATTCCAATGATTGTTACGTAAAGAATTTGTGATTTACATCATTTGTTATATTTATTATTTGCTTTTTAAAATATTTGAGAGGAATAAATATAAAAAGGTTTGCATGTTTTAGTATACATCATCCTATACGCAGTAATTATTTACAACCTACATTTGTATGATTATTTTTAATAGCAGAAAGGAAATAGAAAAAAAGTGAAGGGTAAAGAAACAAAAGGGAATGACATTCTAGTTTGTAAACCACAGGAAAGAAAGAAATTGTTGTTTTAAGGAAAAAAGAAACAAATGAAGGTAACGTTCGGATATTAAATAAATGAGTATAATATGACACAAAAAGTATAATCCACTGAGCAATTTTATTTGATAGTCTCATTTTTTTACATTTAAGCAACATTAACATCTGACATTTCATTCACATGCATCGCCTTTCTAATGGTAGGTACCTGTATAGTAACAACTACTGTTGACACTTAGCACGCAGAAAGTAAAAGTAATATCTAGGGTGCAAAAATAAAGGCATTGCACCAAGTTAAAGCCAGTTAGCCATACTTGCATTTAGAGAAAAGTGCTTTCAGTACATTGCAAAAAAGTTCAGCTTCAATCCGATGAGACAGGGCAGTAGGATCTCATCACTCCCAGAAATTCAATTCAATGTAAGTAGATGAAATGAGTCTTAGACATGTTTGTCAAATAATACACAACCCAAACATCACCAGGATTTTTTAATGTATACTACTAGACACAAAAGAGAAAAACAGCTTTCCCCAGGGCTAATTACATTAAAGTAATTTTAATGCCCCAGTTACTTTATTGCTTAATTTACACACATGAACATAAAACAATTTTAAAATAATCTGTAATACAACCAGCAACTGCCAGAGTATACTGCTGTCTTTTATTGTCTTTTGTTAAGAATCAGCAAAGATTCCTGGCCACAGAATTTCTTAGTAGGGTACTGTAGGTGCACCTACTACATTACATTACCTGCATACATCAGCTCTCTAGGATAGATTTTTTCATGTTTGGTTAAACAGGTTACAGGTTTCAAATTCTATCAAATCTTATATGTCCTTGTGATATAAATCACCTTAACTCTTTCAATGCTATAACAAGAATCATTCAGAAAGAAAATTATGATAAATACTGATATTTTTACAGAGAAGCACTGAATGATGAAGCCTATTTATAGAGATTTTCTTTTAATCAGATGAAGAAATGCGTCAACTACACTGGAATCCAAAATTGCTTTCTCCAAGTACTATTAACAAAAAATACAGTATCAAACTCAAAAGTTTAACACTAAAGGTGAAATCTGATTTTGCTTTTCTTCAATCAGTAAATCCCATTTTTGATCATGATTATATGGATAACAATGTCTTAATCTACTAACCTATAACATTCCATTTCTGCATATTAGTGTGACTTTTACAGTTTGTTCCAGTTAGTGTCTCTGCAGTTTTGATCAACACCATTTCAATACTGTTCAAGACTATTTATTGTCTCATATAATTATTAATCTAAATACTGTAGAGATTTTCAGCAACATATAATGTATATATTATTAATATAAAATATAAAATTTGCAGGTAAAAAAAGTAGAATATAGAGAGAGCCTGCTCCCTCATCACTTATCTCCCAAGCACGCATTACATATTGACCAAACTCAATACCAATGTGTGTGTTGCCTCATGTAATGCTTGATTTATGCGAATGGACCAAAATCTATCAAGCAACAATTCAGGTTTAATGGATTCAGCAGGTGATATCTTCCCAGTAGAATCTGTAAAGACAGAAAGAGGTTCTAAAAGTTATATGGGCAGTGTATTAGATAGATCACTGAAAAAGGATTGTGATGTAACCCGTTGCTACAGAGTATGCATATTGACTGTGTGCTGCATAGTACTTAGATGAGTAATACAGTGAGAAATGAGTATTGACCTGAAATTATAAAATAGTTTAAACTGAATTTTTGTTATCAAATCCCTGGTCCTGTAGAGCTCCAATACAGTTTATCTTACAGTCCACCCGAAATCCACCATTGTTTTGGAGATTAGGAATGCTGCAAGTTATTGAAATATTGATTTTGTTCTGTTAAGGGAATTTTAGTCCTTTAAGGGTGAAAGGTATTGCAATGTTTGTTCCAAATAACGTATTTAAAATTATTTAATTTACTAAATCCATTGTTTAATTGATTATAGTCCAGTTGGCCCAAATCTTTAAATTCTGATGATTTAATGGCTACCTATAAATCCTGCTGGTTTTGTTCTCTCCAGGACAAGTGTTAGAGAGCCCTACTCAAAGGTTTTTTTGTAATCCTTTAGGACTGAAAGACTAAACTTTATCTTTGTCACTATGATGTAATCTATTTGGTAAATTGTGAGGATGATGAAAATCATGAGCAGCATATGTTCTGCATGAATGCTCCTACTGTTTCCGAAAAACACAGTACTGTACGTTCTTAGAGAAACATGAGAAATCAGTAACTACAACATGGCTCTTGTAACAGTGACCTCTGCTGGCCAACAGCCTGTGTGTCTACACATTGAAACGCTGCTTTGTAAATCTTTGGCAAGTGTTCAAATTTTGGCAGGCACAGGAAATAAGACTATGAATATAATAACATCTTTATATCTTATAAAATAAAATAAGATCTTTATCTTGATTCCTGTTTCTCTAGTGCGTGAAGTGTTCTAAATATTTAACAGACCTTTCATTTTTACTTTAAATTTCAGAAAATGACAATACTGATTTATACTTGCAAGATTTCCATGCTTGGAAGAAAATGATTAAAAAGTCACTGTATACTGAAAGAATAAGAAATGTTTTTTCTTTATGTGAATGCATAGCATTTTAGAAGTCTTTTTCATTATCTCTTTCACTTTTTTGTGACACTTATTACTATTTATTCCTGATTTTTTAAAATCCTTAAGTAGACATACTATATTGCTAAGGAACAAGTAATAGGTTTATTCCATGCTGAAAAAAAGAAGAAAGAGAACACAACGTTTCGGCCGTGGAGCCTTCTTCAGGTGTGAAGCATACTATATTGCTATGTACTACTTTTGAAAATCCTACTTAAATGCCGTGTCAAGGAGAGTAATGGTGATTTACCCTGCTTTGCGCTTGTTGCTTGCCGGGTAGGCTCCGGCTTCCCACAACACCGTCCGATATAAAGCGGTTTGGCAAATAACATAATAATAATAATAATAATATCTGGCCACACTCAAGATATCACAAGGCCTTTACTGCCCCACCACACACCATTAACAAGCTCTGAGCTGTGGCTAGGAAAGAGCTTCTTCAGCTTCCTCATAAGCCCCAAGGGGACTCAGGGAGCACAGAGAGGAACTGGGGGCATGTACAAGTAGTTTGCACCGCTGGCCCCAGGAGAGGACTGGGACACCAAGGACTCTGTAGAGAGCAGTAGAGGAAGGCTCTGCCATCGTCTCCCCTGCTCCCACGGGTGAGGCTAGACTCTGGCCAGTGGGTGGGCATAAGGTACCACTTTGTTCCTGATGGCAGTACTTTTGGCAGCAAGGAGCATGGTAGGCCACTAACTGGAGTGGTTTTTGGAGGACAGTACTGCTGGACTGCTCTTTTTAAACATTGAAGATTCAGTAACTGGGATTCTTGTGCTGCTCTGTGAGTGAGCACCCCTTGTGTATAATTTGTGTCATATGCTCTGTACTGTATGTCAGGCAGGCAGTTATAGAAATTGTTGTCATGACTCCAGTGTGACGGGTAGATTGATAGACTGTATTAAAAAGGTAAAATGGCTCTGGTGGATCTGAGAGACCTAAAGAACCTGTTGTGAAAAAAATGGGTCCTGGCATGCTTGTAATTTGTAAGGTAGTACAGTAGTTGACTACAATAACTAAAATCATCCTGCATGAAGGGGTCACCATCCATGACACACACATTTGTTAAAAATGTCTTTCTTTCAGCAGAATTGCATGCAGACGTGATTTTTTGTTTCTGTTTAGGATCCCAGACAACCAATGTAATGTCATTTTCTCTGTTTGGGATACTTTACCTGGGTATGTTCCTGATGAAGGTTTTAAAACCACATTAAATCAAATCCAACTCACAGGCAGTGAAGGCTTTGGCCCACCTACTGTACAGAAAAAGAGAACCTTTCAGACCTTTGACTGAGACATCAACATTTTGTGTTGAAGGCAGTTTTTGATCATGCCTAGTTAAAGGTAGCAGAATATGTATTTTTATTGAGGGCAGGGGAAAGATGATATATAACCTGTTTAGGGTATAATTGGCTTCTGCACTTAGGATATGTTAATAATATAAACTTCTGATTTTCCATATTCTACTATGCAAAGGTTAAGTAAAAACCCAGAAACAAGCAATTCTTGCTTTATTTTCTATAGTTAAAGTACATTGGAAAGTTTCAAGATGGGTCTCATGCATACTGATGACATACTGAGCTCAACTACACAGATAAGGTGGTAAATTGGGTTTTACTGTACATGTAATCAGTCTACCAGAATGCATGTACAGTATTCAGGTGGAATGGATGTATGAAATACTGTACCTAAATATATTTTCCATATCTAATAAATATGGCAGTTCACAATCAGAAGCATTTAAAATGCTGTTTATAAACAATTCTGCATTTTCTGACTTAAAGTGAATGTGTTACTGTGATTAGATTGTATCTGCATTGTTCTTATTTCCTTTACTGTGATTAGTCCCTCACCTAAAAGCTTGGTTGAAACACGCCCAGCAACTCTGATCACATGACACTGGCAACCACCTGAAACACAGATATTTTTCATTCATTCATACATCATTTTAGTATGTTACTACAAATATCTTTTCCTTGAACATTCTTTTATTGTTCATTTTTTGGATTTCTATTGCAAAAAATTGTGGTAGGTTATTTTCAGAAAAAGATTATCAGTGACCTCACATACACGTTTCAGTCATTTTTTATTTTCATCTTTTGGACATCTCTTTTGGATATTTCTTTTATGATAAGATATAATTTTTATAAGCACATAAAAATACAAAGATGGGAGCAGACATTTAAAAACAAAAAAGAAACAGTGGGACAGTTAAACACATTTTAGATTCCTACCTTTTTTTACGAGTACCAGCTGTTTCCAGAGCCAGGCTAACAGGACCATTGATGAACACAACAGAATTCCCAGAACAATGCAGCCAATCTTACAGATTGTTACTTCATTTTTACCTGGATGGGAAGAACATATACAGTATGTAAATACATTTTTTTTTACAATCATTGTCATTTTTATTATCATGCACAGCAAACATAAACTTTTCAGTCATCTAGAAATTCAGTCTTCTTTTATAAGAGACTTTGACTCTTACATGTGCAGAGAAACACAGAGACAGGTGTACTCTCAGCTCCATTGTTTCTCACTGCTGTGACACTGAACATGTACTCAGTCCCTGATTTCAGGTTTGAGATGACCATGGAATTGGAGGTTTCAGGGACAGTCATGGACCCTTGAAATTCTCCATCTCTGGAAGCATAGTTGACTTTAAACTGGCATGACGTTTCCCCCTCTGTTGCAGGTTTCTCCCATCTTAGAGAAACTGAATCAGCTCCAATTGAGTCAATACATAACTTTTCTGGTTGGTGCAGACCTATAACAGAATGTTACAAAAAGATTTCATGGCTGTGGCACATTTTAATATCAGTTCCAGAATTATACTGCTTATCTTCAGAGTCTTAATAAGGGTACCAGGTGTAAAGAAGCATTAATATTTTATTAGTATTTAACAGAAAATGTCTATATTTAATCTTAATGTGACTATTTTTTTAATTTAAATTTAATTTTACACCAGATTAAGGATTGAGTTATAAATATTACACTTGTCAGCTAATTCATAATAATAAAGTAATTTATTGAGCCAGTAGTAAAGTATATATTTTAAAGAGAGGAGTAGTTTTTCACAAATGTGAATTTTGTTTCATTTGCAAGAGTTTAAAATTGAAAGATTCAGGATGTACTGTAAAGGCAGACAATGAAAAACATATATTGCCTTTGAACAGTGACAGGATTTAACTCTGGGATTTTAATCCTGTGCATTCTGGGACACTTAAATATTAAATTACTATTTACTATTAATTAATTTAACTGATATCAGGATTTCAGTTCATCAGCTGTTTTCCTATAACATTAATGAGATATAGAGAGAAAGAAGGTGATACATACGTGTTTGAAGTCTTAGAGAAACAGATGAACTCTGGCTTCCAGTGTTAGTTACTATGGAAACGTTGAATATGTATTCACTGCCTGATTTTAGGCCGTAAATGACTGTGGAGTTGGAGGTTAAAATAAATGACCCATACTGTTCCCAATAAAGGGAAAAATAAGATACGTTAAAACTGTATGGTGTTCCCACCATAATGGAAGGTCTTTCCCAACTTAAAGCAACATATTCTGTCCCAACAGAATTAACATTTATCTTTTCTGGAGGAGTTGGACCTACAAAAAGAAAAAAATCAGATATCTTTGTATCAAGAAACATTTACAATTGAAAGACATGCACATTTTTATGTGAAAGTTTTTATGGTCTTTATAATCTAATCTAATGTTCTAAATTGACTGAAGGAGGTACTAAGACAAACAGTGTCTTTTAAAAAAAAAAATTAAAAAAGTTGCGGTGACAACTTAATGCTTGGTGTAATTATCTTCTAAATAATTACATTCCATGAGAGTGTTAGAAAATCAATCAAACTCATTTCAGTCGACACTGAAGTTTAGTGAAATTATTTTAAAAGAAATAAATATTTTTCATTATTAAATAATGAAATAAATAGCAGGAACAATTCTAAAACCTGTGAGGATTCTCATTCTGATAAGCCTTGGGTTGCTGAGTCAGATAATGCTGCCTTTTTAGTGTTTGACTAATGTGCTTATAATTTACCTTGGCATATAAAAAAGTGTTGTTCTTTGCACCAACGAGCCAGCAATGCTTTTGAATCATTAGAATTCAGGTAAAGACTCCCACAGCCCGTCCAATGGGGGTATATAGTCCATTCATTATATGTTAATTGGCTTCCATCAACCCAAGTCCAGTTGTTGCGGCATCTGTTTTGTAAACCAACCCAAAAGCTCCCCTGTTTCAGGGGTTTCATCCACTGCATTAAGTACTGGTACCTCTGTTCATCTTGTGCTACAGCCAGATCCACAAAGTTGTGTCTACAATATTTCCTGGCTTCTTCCCAGCTCTTCCGCATCAGAATGACGGTGAACTGAGTTTGTCCAAAGACCATGAAAGTACTATGAAATAAAGCTGAAAGAAGGAAAAAAAATAAAATGTATTTCTTCAGTGAAATGCTATTTAAATGTGACCAAATTCGAATGAATGCCAAGTGATTCTATATATTTAACAACACAGTAATTGATACTTTATGCTCAGGATGCTGTCTTACAATTTTTGTGTCTTTTATATTCTCATGCCTCCTACATTTTGTGTGATAAGATGCTTAAAACCTTGGATTTTCTTTATCCATGGAATCATATTTAATCATGATCCCATTTAGAAGTTTGTTAAAGCATCCCTCTTTCATTTAGTAGTGTTGACACCTTCTGAAAGACGAGGCATGTATATAATTATGCTTACAGTATGTACCACTAGGTGACACTATCATTGCAGACAAGAATATTAATGTAAATACAAATTCATCTAAGATTAATTCGAAATATATTGAAAAGTTTTTTTTTTAAATACCAACAGTATAACAGCACTAAAAGTAAATACAAACTTAATTCTGCTGTTAGAAGTGCTGAGGAACAAAGTGAAAAAAGATTTTGTGTAAATGCATCAAATGAAATGGAAAAAATCATAACGAATAATGTGGTTGAAAAATTATTTTATGGTTTTGCAAGCAGGGAATAGTCATCTTTCCCTTCCTCACTTGCTCAACAAAATATATCTGTCCTCTTCCTTATTCTCTCTGAAATGCTATTCCCTACATTGATCCACTGCTTAGTACTATTCTAAGTAGTGTAATATTCAAAGATAGTAACAAATAAACTTTTCTCTTTCAACTCTCATATCCTATCATTATAAATTCAGTTTGGTTTGATTTTGCCACACATTTTCCACCAAAATGTCTGTAGCATTTGAGCTTGTTATTGGTTGTGTACAGTCAAGACACATGGTCGGAAACCTGGCGACATGTAAATGAACAACATCAGCCACCATGCTTTTATTTTTTCCAGCAATGTGGCACAGAATCTGGCACAGAATCAGGCACAGAAATCATGCATTTAACCTGAACTCAAGCAAAAATCTTTGTTATTGTGAACATGCAATCTATTCTGTGATATGCAGTAAAAAGATCACCATGCCGACACCAGCTGTCTGAACATGCAGTCAGATCTTGATAGATCAGAGCTGTACACCAATAAGAAGTTTCTTTTTAATTATCTGTTACATTACGTAATATGGCATTATGGTCATTAAAAATACAGATGTCACAGAGAAACATTGTTTTAATACATGAAACACATCTATATTGTTAATTACCATAATAGCACAGGAGCACTCAGTCTGCTCAAATCTAGTCTTTAACTTGAATAGTATACAAGCTGTTTTTCCTAAGTATACTATTTCTTTCTTCATTCAGAAAGCAGGCATACAAATCTATATAAATTATGGGTTTTCTTAAGTAGAATAAACATTACAAATTATTGTGAACTTCATTAGTAAACTGTATTCCTCCTTGGTAAAAAAAAACTCTCTCAGTTTGACAATATCAAATAAAACCTTGCACACATCAAGTAGCTCTACATTTAAGGTGCAATTAATTGAAAAAGGTTTGACATGTGACTGAAGCTGAATCAGCATTTTTTTAGAGAAATGTCAAAATTGTTTACTCACTGAACACAGCAATGTATTGCATGTATCCTCTTGTATCCATTTTGAACCAAATAAATACATTTAGTTATTTTAGGCTGAAATATTTTTCAGCAAACCTGTATCACTTTCTCCTTGAAATTCATCTGCTCCCCTGAGTTGCTTTAGTCAAGTGAATTTACATCTTAGCTGGCACTAAATCTTAAATGCATAAACACGGATGTTGGATAGCTTTAAAAGTAGAAGAATCAGGTTCTACATGTCAAGCAGAGGAATGCAGAAGAGCATGAAATGACGCTGGTAACCACAAAAATGAAAGGTAGCTAACACGGATATCAACTGTGACACAAGGATAAACACGAGAGAAGTAGCATTCTGACCTGAAATTTAAATATATCATTCATGCACTTGCAAATGTCAGAATGATTAATCACTGTTTCTCTCATTGTTTCTCATTCTGTAATACAGTTTGGTTATTAAAATTGGTTTCATACAATGTAGATGTTTAGAGCACTTCAAGTCTTTTTATATATACAGTACAACCTCCTTCCACCCCATGCTTCTCAGTCCCATTTTATTCCATTCAGAAGTCATTGCTGCTGTCATAGCAGGCTAGCCAAATTATGTTTAAATAGAAGTAATAATGGGCAGTTAAAAAGAGCGCACCATGGAATATACATCAAGAGATTAAATATAATAACAATGCAGACAGTGTGTATAGTAAATGCACATAATGTACAAGCTGTTGCTGGGAGCTAAAAGTAGAAAAAAACAGAAAAGTAGCCTAGATCAAGATGGTAAATTATCTTCTTTTTCACAGACAGTAAAAGGTCCTCCACTACAGTTCTCACTATACCTATTCTGGTTGTTTATCTTCAGGTATGTTTTACTCAGAACTGAACACAGCCCCTTACACTCTGCTACACAACTGCTGAGACATGTCAGCATCACGCCTTTCCACAGCTTCAGCCTCTGACATTTTTTCCAAAGTATCAGGTTTCAACAGTTTTCTGTACGCTTTAGTTTTCCTTCTTCCACCTTCGCAAGTGCTTCCTTTAACAGCTATTCCTGAACTCGTTGCTTATAGGCAGATTTTAAAGAAAAAAATAAATTACATTAGCATAGTGCTTTTCCCCACTTCTCCAGCAACTGAAATGAACTTTCCACTTGGGTGAACCACTGCAGCCATTATGCGTCCCACTGTGCAGAATCAGGTCATTGAGAAATCACTTCCAGGGGTCAATGTGCCATCTGAATGATGGCACAACCTACAATACAGTGTTGATTTTTTCTTCTTTTTTTCTATTTAATGTAAGTTAGTAGTTAGCATGGCAAATACTAAATAACATAGTGTAACCAATATCAGGGAATATAAAAGATCAAAGAGATATGTAATACAGAAAGTTACAGTAAAATTAACATCATACAACCTACTCTTTTACAATATGTTGGAAAGGTGTTAGCAGTTTCCATCACCTTAGAATTTTAAATTCTGGATACCTTTGTAGAATTTTCTCAATTTGGGTCACTGACTTTGTAGATTTACTTAATCCGCACTCAGATTTATTTTCTTTCAGATTCGCATGCGTTTCTCAGTCTTAAACGATATGTTTTTATTGTTGCATCCATCTGTTTTCTAATGTGCTTGATCAGTTAAAACCTTCATAAGATTGTGGGGATTTTTCAGTTGACATATAAATAGAACCTGCAACTGAAAGAAACCTGGTGATGACCTTGAAGAAAATGTAAATTAAACATGTGACATACGTAAAAAATGTCAGTGTTGGGGCCAAGTCTTGCCGGGCTATTTTTAACTTTCAGGTACTAAAATAGCATTCACTACCTCAAGCACTTTTGCTTACATCTGTTATTTACATAAGATGATTATTTTGTTCCAGTAGGAGAGACTCTTTCACATTTTGCTGTTGAGCAGGATATATAAAATAAATAGGCATGAAACATAATCCAAATTCTTCCGTAAGAGCTATAATAACTGGTTATACTTTTACTTCATTTTTATGCAACTTTGTGGGTTTATTAGTAGCATTAAAGACTGTTACAACATAATACCCCAGTGTGTCATTTATCCCATAACAAACATTCCCAAGTTCTGTAATAATTATGTTAGTTTGTGAAGGAGTCATTGTAATGTATCCAATATATTCAAAGTATATGGTGTGTACATGTGTATGATCAAAATACAGCAAAATATTTTCTATGCATCCAGAAATAAACATGGCTTTTTTAAGATCGTTGTTAGGCTATTGAAAAAGAGATCTGGAAATATTAAACTTTCTCACCCTAAATTCAGTTTTAAAAATATCCTGAAGGGGGCAGACAGGTTTTATAAACAGAACAAACTTGCCCGAGTTGCAACAAAACAAACATCTTACTCTGGACAATAATAAAAAAGTACAGAATATAGAAGTTGGGTATTTCTAAAAGCTATACACAAATATTATGTGCAATATAGACTTCAAATTCATTGGCACAATATGTGATTATTTAAGGTAGGTGGGTTCTGGGAATAGCACAAATAGCATGTTTTCTTGGATGTTAGTGCACTGATGTCCAAATTTTATTGAACAGCTCAAAATAAAAAATCAACACTACTCACTTACACCAGTCTTTGACAATCTCAGTCTTGCAATTTGTGAGAGGTAGTTACACATAGCAGCCAGCCTACAAAGCAATTTCCCTCAACTCATAGCCCAGACCGAATTTCCTTGTTTCCCAACCCAGCCCTCTGTCAACATAACCAGAATGGGAATTCGCAATTGTGTTATGACTGTGGGAACAAAAACAGTTTCAAATCATAATTATAGTGTATTAAAACATAAATTAAAAATAATTTTGCATAAGGCATTTTAAAAAATGTATGAATAATTGCAAAGCACCACAAAGATCTGTAAAATCTATTAAAAAATTTAATAGCATGATGTTAATTATCAACCTCTGAACCAGTACTGCTATAATAATAATGAGATTAACTGCATTTTCAACAAGCATCACATTCATTTTCAGTAAATTCACAGCCTTACGTATTTCGTTTTATTATTAGGAAACCACATGCAAAACCCACAAGGTTTCGAACATTTCTAAAGCTTTTTTCACATACTGTAGATATACTACGTCAGCCTTGGTGACTGGTCACTTCCTACTAAAGAACAATCGGTAATTAACCACATCCTTTCAGTACCCAATAAATGTTGATCTTTACCAAGGCAAATTACTTTTGAAAAATGACTGGCATCTTGACATTTTTGTTGTGCGTCTCTGCAGTTATTCTCCTTCAGATTCCAGAAGGTAAGATTCTCTTGATAAGATACCTGAGTGCTTGTTTTCTTCAGTGCTGCTGAAATGACCAGGTATTTCAAAGCAATTTATAAATGCAAATCTTAGGATAAGTTTCTTATTCTGGGAATCATTGATATAATTACCGAAAATGACCACACAATGACTTCAAATTGGATGTATTGTGCAAAGGTTAAAAACAAGAAAAGTAATAATAAGTTATTAATCACAATTACAAGCATAAAAAAGGGGTTCAAGGAAACAACAGAAGCCAATGTTTACCATTTTTATGGCAGGTATGTCTTCAAAAAGTTTGAATATTTCTAAGAACACTTTGGTAGAAGTGTTCCAATCTAGTATGAAAGAGAGCAGGTTGGCAGTAGGAGGATTCCATAAAAAAAGATGTATAATACATCTACAGTATGTGTGTATATGGCTTAGTCTGTGTCCTGACTTTGCAGGAATATTTTTGTGTAATTTCAGTTTTTATCTGATTGTATTGTGTTCCTGTTTTTTTATTTATGTTTCAATTGTTTATACTATGCCACGTACTGTACTTACGTGATAGCTCTGAATGAAAATATTCATGGTGCTGTATGCTCATGTGATGAAATTGCTCAATGACAATATTGTGCCACTTCAGAATTTCAGAACATGAGAAAGGTTATGAAGAAAAAGAGGCCATTTGGCCCAGCGTGCCCTTTTACTTAAGAGACAATAGTGTTGTACTACCAATCCAGCAAATGGAGGCTTATAGGGAATGTAAGAGTTTTTACATTTTACTTCTTTCCTTCCCAGACTCCTTACTACTTACATATGCGCTCTGTATAGTTGGATAAAAAATTGAATCCAAAAGGGCTGCTGCCAGCCAAGCAAAATGCTTCTCAAATTTTAGTCTATTTATACCCTATTTGGCAGATATAATCCCTGGTTTCTGGAAATATTTTTTCATGTGTCTATCATAACAGCACCTTGGCCTAATTTTCTTTTCTGGTTTCTGACCAATTCTGTTAAAAAAACAGTTAAGGTAATCAAATGTAACATAAAATTCAATTTTTAGGAAAAAAAGTGTTTTTACCTGACCTAATTTTTTAATAAAGCTTTCAAAGTCTTCTTTGCAATTATTACAGTAATGCTGATATCCACATTAAGTTGTACCTGAATTAGTATATTTAAGGTTGATTTGAAAACTACATGTAAACTGGCTGTTACTGGAAGACTATTTAGCTGGAAAATGTTAAATTATTGGCCTAAAATGCATTTGGCAAAACAACACCAACTTTGAGTGAATTGGATGCAGCTATATGTAAAAATTAATCTAATCTTAAATAAGAAATCGACATTTAAACTTAAGCATACATTTTGTCTAAAAGGTTTTTAAAAATATGTTTTCATAATGGTTTATCAGTTATATTTTTGTTACTAGAACAATATTGCTACATGACAGGTGCCTCAACATTAGAGAAGCAAATGTATAGCAGACTGGTGACTAAGCAATTTGTGTAGGGGTGAAATGTAGTGAATCTAAAATTTAAGCAAACCATTTTTTAAATCTGAAGCCCACAGCTTTAACCACACAACAGGTGGTTTCCAGTTTGAAAAACACTGACTGGTTTAATATCTGCCTAAAGACAATTTAATGTACTTGCACTATATCTGCTTTTAAGATGTGATATTGGTTTTAGACATACTATCTTGTTAGGATTCTGTATCAGAAACAAAATTATTCTTTAATATGTTATATGTAAAGGTAGTGGTATTCACAGCTCTCTGGCC